CTGCTGATGGGGTTATGAATGGGGTTTATTATAATGAGGTTGTACTATATTTTGCTTTCTTCATACTAGCGTGCTAGTGATTATTCAAATATAGACACCTGGGTAGATGAACATACTCTGCCTCTTATTTCAATGCTATCATTTAGTCATGTCAGGGGTGGCATATACCTCTGCAGAGTACTTTTGCAGGTCCACACAAGTATGACATATGCCTCTTAAACCTTTTATAAGCCTTCTGGACAGCAGTAAGTTCCACGTATAGAATTGAATTATATCTTCTGTAAGGTCTTTGAGGGACAGAAATAACATGGAGCTCTCGTTGTGAAATTTCCTAGACTTTCTTCCCCTGAGGAAGAAAGCAGAAACAAGAGCTCCAGAAGTAAGACTTTTTCTTTAGTTTTACATATTGCATTTCCACACTCCTACTCAATGAGAGCATTCAAGACATGACTGGTCATTTCCCATTTTCACTTTATTAAAGAATGATGTGATCGGCTCTTTAAGAACCATACTCCTTTAAACATGATACAGCTACTGGATAGCACAGCAACCTGTCAGAAGGTAACTGGACCTGCCACCACACACTACTATTGATATTAGATCAGGGGTGTCCAGCCTTTTTGAATGTGGGGCCAGATCACGAACTTTTTATCACCCAGTGGCCAGCGAGCCATATTCAAAGACCTCACAGGAAGTGGTATCACATCAGGAAGTGATGTCATGTAACCTTTGACACCACTGAAGTTGCAGGAAGTGACAATGAAATGGGTCTAGCCAGTTCAAAACTCTCCCTCTATAGCATCCACCTCTGCCACTGTTCAGGACAGGATACTGAGCTAGATGGACCATGGGGTTGACCAAGCAAGCATGGCACTTTTTATGCTCTTACGTTCAGAAGCTCTTATGTTCTTTGGCTGAGCTTCCAAACTATGGCTGAGATTTGCAAAAAGGGGTAGACAGGCATGTTACAAAGTTGTCATAAAGGATTTGGAGCCCTCTAAATCTCATTCATTTTAATGGAAGTTGGCCTTTTGACTCAGCTTTGAAAATCTCAGCCCAAGGTGCCAAGTCAAAATATGTGAGTCAAAATATATTTTGCATTTCTACGCAGTGCATCTATGTGGGGCTCTCCAAGCATTTTACAAACATGAAATGAACCTCAGGATGAGTCCAGCCGGAGCAGCAGGGGCTCAGCTGCACTTTCCCCCTACTTGTGCTGGTCAGTCCCAAGCAGCACAGAGCTCTGCCGCCGCCTCTGCTGGCTGGTGCTGACCCGAGCGGGTCTGTCCCATCCGGAGCAGCATGCAGCTGAAGCTGGCTTCCCACGTGCTACTGGGGATGGGAGGAGCCCAGCCGGGTCAGCATCAGCCAGCAGAAGTGGCAGCGGAGCCATGTACGCTGGGGACTGACCGGTGCAGGCAGGGGGAAAATGCAGCTCGGCTCCTGCCGCTCCGGCCGGGTTTGTCCCGTCCCGTCCCGAGCGGCACACGGCTCCGCCGCTGCTTCTGCTGGCCAGCACAGACCCAGCTGGGCTCCTCCTGTCCCCAGTAGCATGTGGGAAGCCCGCTTCAGCTGCATACCACTTTTCCTGGCTGGTGCTGACCCGGCTGGGTCCGTCCCATTCGGAGCAGCATGCTGCTGAAGCCAGGTTCCCATGTGAGCGGCACACAGCTCCGCCGCCACTTCTGCTGGCCGGTGCAGACCCGGCCAGGCTCCTTCCGTCCCCAGCAGCACGTGGGAATCTGGCTTCAGCTGCGTGCTGCTCCGGATGGGACAGACCTGCCTGGGTCGGCACCAGCCAGCAGACGTGGCAGCAGAGCTGTGTGCCACTTGGGACTGACCAGTGCAGGTAGGGGGAAAGTGCAGCTGAGCCCCTGCTGCTCTGGCTGGCCTCTTCCTGTGGTGAATGGCACACGGCTCTCCACTTCCCACATGCACTGCGTTGGCAACATCAAGCTGACGCAGTGCGTGTGGGAACCTTGTCCTTTCCCGAGCCCTTCAGCAGCCATTAGTAAGCTGCTGAGGGGCTGGGGGAGGGACAAGGGGTGGAAACGAAAGTAAACGGTGTTTACTTTAGTTTACTGTCGCAGCAGCACCGCAGGCCACAGAGAATGCCTTGGTGGGCCGCATGGCAGCTCGCGGGCCGTATGTTGGACAAGCCTGTACTAGATCATTTCAAGTGTGCTGACGTCTGTTAACAAAATGGGGGGGAGGGGGGAAAGCAGTTTTATCCTTTTCTTTCCAAAACGTTTCTCTACAGAATTAAAATACATTAACACCTTTATTTGAATGTCCCACACATATCTGTTTCCGGTAGAACTGAAGTTAAGACTAAATTGTTGCTACAATACAGTTAGAATTCAACAGCTCCAGGAAGAACACTGAATAACTGTAAATGTGATAAAAGATAGGGGTTTGTTGGGGGGGGGGGGGGGGAAAGAGGGGGAATAAAGCAAGCTAAAGAGAAATGGGTCAAGTTTAGTTTTTTCTTTTAATTTCTGGTGACAAGAAGGTGAACAGATTACTAACTAGAACTCCTGAAAGTGATAAAAGAATTTTAAGATAGATGACGTTTTAGGCTTGAAATAAAAGAGTGACCTTTAAAGATGTAGTTGCCTTAAATTTGCAAAGCAGATCTGGGCTTTATTCCCAACTGTTCAAGCAGGGTGAAAGGAAAATCATTATTTAGATATGTTCCAATTAGGCAGCTGGACTCAGCAGAGGTACTCTCCCTCCCCAAAGTAATCTATCCTCCTTACTGAGACAAGATTATAAACATACTACCAGGACAAACAATGTTATCCTATGAGCTCTTTTCATAGGGCATTAAGATAGCTTCACTGAAGTCAAGGAGACTACATCAGTGTATAGCAGTTAAGTGTTCAAGAGAAGGCAAAACTCTCTCTCTAGCTTTCGTGAATCATAGTCTCCAATCATGCACAGCCCTGAAACAGGATAAGGTCACAACAAAATAAGGGCTTTTATTAGCAAAGTCAGATGCCATTTTGGAAAAAATAAGAAAACATTAACGAAAGCCCTAGTTTATTATGGCACCTGGATTCTCAGCAATTGCATGAGGGGGTAGCCAGAGGAAGGCAATGAAAATGTTCAGATTTACAACCTTTGCAAAGCACAAGTTCAGCCAGCAGTTACTGCAGCCCTAGGGTTATCTGAGGAGGCAATAATTGAAGGGAGTGCATCTACTAGCCAAATTCTGAAATTTGGTATAATACTTTATTGTGGCAAAATACTCTGTCATGGAGCTGTAGCATAAATATACACAAGGAACAAGCTTTTTAGTACAATATCCCCAGGGTGATCAGCTGCTACTTCATCCCCACGCCTCAGAAAATACCCGTCATTCATGTTACCAGGAGAGGCTTTTTTTCATTAGTTTTTGGGAGGAAAGGAGGGTGGGGGAGGGTACATCTGTCACTATGCCTTTATCTTTCATGCATCTGTGCCTTGCCCTCTACTAGCAGCAGCAGCTGAAGTTACATACTTCACAGCTGCCCCCAGCCAGTTCCTCCAGGTCCTCCTCAAACACCCACAGAGTTTGAAATAGTTAAACAGGTGCACTGGAGGATGGGAAAGGGATACAATAAACCAGGCAGCTGTTGGAAAAGGTATTGCTGCATGCCAATGACTGCTAGCACTCCAACACAAACCCATCTCTCAGCAAGCCACATGACTGCAAAAGATCTCTGCCATGAGTCATAACTGCAAGGCCACTGTTTTGAAAACCTTAGGGCCCAAGGGGCATATAAATAAATCAGAGATAAGTTACAAGAATCAAGAACTCTATTATTCCTCATCCATTCAGAGTTCATATTAGCACTTCCGTATGTATCGTGCACATGTGTATCTAGAATGTCACAGAATAATCTTTTTATGAGGGCTTAATGACTAGTCAGATAACTTAATATTTTCTTCCTTTCTAGATCATCAGCACACAAGGGTTTATTATCTCTGGAATATATCTGCATTACTTTATTTATAAAGGCATGAATCGTGACCTTAAAAATTCCAAGTAAGGCAGAGAAGCCCATCAGAAAAAGTTGCACAGGCCAAAATAAATATTCTGAACATACATGGAACACAACCAGTCTCTAGATGTACTTACTTTAAAGAACTTTAAGCAGCCAGATACAGCTAAAATGCTGTATTGGTTTCCTACATGTTACTATGCAAGCACATTGGTACTTCAGTTCTGCACAAGATAGACAAGAGTTAATTTTCAGCTACAAAAAAAATCAGCTCCCTGGACAACTATAGCAGTACCATACACAACTGTGGCACCCAAGACTCTTCATTTGCTAGCTTTATTGCTTCTACACATCAAACCTCCAAAAAGAAAATGACTTTTATAAAATAGGCTACTTTTCTGTCAGATAGCTGATTCTCCACTTCAAAAGTTAAGCTGAAAGCATATTCCTGTATTTAAGGGCAGTGTACTTACTCCTAGGGGAGCCCAAAATAGTCCTTGTCTCCACCTCTAAAGGGGCCTTTGCTTACCTTTCTGAATTACACTTGAATTCGAGATATGATTCCTTGACCACATGCAGAGTATTTGCTGTATCTGTGTATTTTTAACAACACTGTCCAACTGCTTTCCCACCATAAGAAGAGCATTAAGCAAGATTTATCCTGATGCCTGTGTGCTGCATTATAGCTTTTCTTAAACCTGATTTTCAAGCAGGGCAGAGCTGCAGCATCTCTCTCAAAGATATTAAACTAACTGAAGGCACAGAGCTTCCCCAGGAACTTTCCTACAATGTTACCAGGCCCCCACTTCTCTCCTGGGTGCAACTCGACTGGGTGTCCAATGACACAGGTGACTGATTTTGCAACTTTCGCACCTGGGCCAGGAAAGCATGGCTTGAGCCTTACAAAGTGGGCATGACAGGAAGAGGAGGACCAGGGGAGGGTCAAAGGAAGCTGTCTCCTGAAGGCAGGATTTATCTCCTATGATGTCTTCGCTGTGTAGAGGTGCTTCTTAATGGGTCAGATGGCAGGATCTTGCCTACACAAGCCAGGGAGTGTCTCTGAGCGCCCCTCCCCCCCAGCTAGATACAGCCCGCTGCGGTTGTGGCGCTGCCATTTGCTGGCCGGGCCGGGGCGGACCGCCAGGAAAAGGCGACTCAAAGCCGGTCCCGTCAAGGGCTTTGAGTCAGCCGCTCCCTAGCCCGTCGCCTGGGCCAGCACTTTGTGGCGCCGCGGGCGGGGAGCGACCCGACACGCTGCCCCCGGAGCCCGGCAGCCGCCCGCCCCGCTGCCAACGTAGAGCGGTGCGATGCAAATGCAGAGCCACACTAATGCAGTGCCAGGCACGCTGCTCTGCACCGGCCATTGCAAGGTAGGGCCCCGCGCTGCAAGACCCACTGGAGGAGGAAGGAGCCCCGCGCCCGAACTAGGGACTCCCAGGGCCGCCGCGCCGCTTACCGTGCTAAGCTGCGCCCCCATAGCTGCCCCCCACAGTTCCGGCCAGCAGCAGACGGAAGCGGTACTGCCTGACGTCGCTACACTGTAGCTTGCCCCACCCCACCAGGTCTCCAATAAGCAGATCAGCCTGCTGCGCTTGCTTGGGCAGAGGCGGCCCTCGGGGGGCGTGGTTCAGCCCTAAACTCCTTGAAACTGCGGCGGTGCGTGCTAGAACTGGCTGTAGAAGGTTGAACTGTAGAACGCTTTGGAAGCGCTCTGGGGATTCTGAGGCGCGGCAACGGCCCACAGGGCCAGGAGAGCCTTGCAGGGTGCAGCGGAAGCCCCATTCTCCGACACCGAGAGGCCCGAGATAAGGCCCAGATGGGAAGCAGAAGGTGTCAGTGGGAGGTGTTGCGTAGCGGCTGAGCTGAGCAAGCGGATAGATAAAGTGTTTTGTAAAAGCTGCAGTATTGCCAGTGGGAGTTGGGGGAAGAGTGGATAGAGAGGGAGGGTGGGTGATGACTTCCTTTTCTTTTTAATGGCTTGGATGTTCTTGTAT